TGGTCCATAAGCCACTTATACTCAGAACAAGAAAATGGCTTTCTTACAAACAAAAAAACTAAATAGTCCTCTACTCATTTTCTTCAAACCTCTCTCCTACTATTCAATGCTTTCCTCCAACTTCTCTCTTAGTCAGATAAGGCAGATGACCTCTAACTATGACTAACTCTTCAACACAGCCCTCTGCGTAAGGTTTTCCAGCACACAGTGTTTAGGTTTAGAAATATAAATTATTTTCTTGCATTGTAAGTCAACAATAACTATCCAAGTCCCCAGGGCAAAGACATCAAAAGAAAAGCAAAAGTCCATAATATGTTATATTCACCATGTCATAGGCAGCATTTACCAGTAGGCTGCATATATGAGACTCTCGGTTTGCCCAGAGAGGTGGTAGATGTCCCATCCCTGGAAACATTCCAGGTCAGGCTGGACGGGGCTCTGAGCAACCTGCTCTAGTTGAAGATGTCCCTGCTCATTGCAGGGGGGTTGGACTAGATGACTTTTGAAGGTCCCTTCCAACCCAAACCATTCTATGATTCTATGATCCTCCAAGAAGTGCCAAGTCTTTAAGCCATGTATGTTAGCCCACGATGCCCTCAGAGCTGGTCACGCCAAGCCACAAAGCTGAGCCATTGTCTCCTTCTGCAGCATGCTCTGATGGAAACATGCAGGTGCTGTCAGGGACCAGCAAGGAAGCAAGGACAGTGTCTGAAGTGAGCAAATAAGGAAGGAAAGACATGAAGCCATTCCTTTGCCTGTCTCTAGCAATTTGGTGAGTAAGAAAAGAGAGAGAAAATAGCCTCATTCCCTCTCTCAGGTAAGTGTAACCAGTCACAGGGAGAAGCGCCGATTATACAGGCTTCGTTAAGCCCTGCAGAGATGACTACTTTCATCACGGGGAGCAGCAGCTTTCCTACGAAATTCTGTCAGGGAAGAACTCGCCCATTTTAACTTACTGATATCCTCGCCTTATGTTCTGCTCCAGTAACCGTGCCATGCTGACACTGGTCATTGCATTTGTTAAACCTAAGCGCTGAAGGACATGAGCCTTGCCTGCATACAGACATCAGTTTGCGGGCAGGATCCATGCAAAATGCTTTTGCTGCAGCAAGAAGAGGTCATGCTCTGTCCCCAGTGAAACCTGACTGCAGGTGACAAGGTAAGCTGGTGACACTCCTTGCATCAGGTAACTCATGCCAGTAAAAGACCTGGCTTCACAAAGTGGACACCCATGAAAAAAACCCGCAATTTAATGGGAAGTCATTTGTCATACTAATGGTCATACTAAATGACACCATTAAAGAACTGTAAGCAAGAGATTGGTAATGAGCAAGTCAATGTTATCATTTGCTCACATTTTGCAGGCTGGCTCAGGACCAACTCCATTTTTTATTGTAAAGGAGAACAGATTAAAAAGACGTATAAAGAAATCAAAGTAATTAGGCATATAAACAAGCTGGCAGGTAAACAATTGTAATTCAGTGAGGCAACCGCCAACCTCTAAAGAAAGAAGGGTATGTTTGTATTATTATTTTCTTTTTAGTCTTATTTTATCTCATTTTAGATTACAACCAACGTGATCATTAGAACCCTTACAAAGCACAAGACTGACCTGAGTATGCGCTCAGCTCCCGCACTGCAAGGGTTGCCTTACCCCACCCTGAGGACGCGCACTGGGAGAGGCTCCCACCGCAGCACTGAGAATTTGGCCATGCAGAAGATGGCCAGCCCTCCCCATGATTAAGAGCATGAGTTCATCCACTGCAGAAATATGACTAGACAAGTTGAGACTATGGCTTTCTCCCAATTTCCCCAAACTTTGGGACACCAGACTCCTGGGTGGAATCCCTCCCCAGGGCTGATGTGGACATGCAACCCAGGTTAACACAGGCTGGATGTAGGGTTCGATTCAGCCGATTTAACCTTAGGTGTTTAACAAAGCGCTTGGTTTAGTTTTCACTAGTGCCCCATGTAATCAGCACAGAGAGATCAGCGCCTGCAGTGAATGATCTCGGGTCTCATAGTCCCTCTCATGAAGAAGTGGGACAGTACAGTAATTCTCAATGCCAGTTCATAATTGTATATTCATTTGAAGCGTCTCATTCATTTGAAAGTCAGCACTGCCTAAAATTATTTCCAACTCCCCAAAACATGGACTGCTATAATTTTTTAAAAACTAATTCAGCTTAATGCACCATTCAAAAAACCCACACCATTGCTTTGCAAACAAGACTAGTTATTTTCCCAAATGTTACAGTACCCTGACTCCACGTCTGTTGAAGATATGATGCAGTCTCAGATTTTCTGCTGTAGTCTATCATGATTAATTTTAGTCTATGCAAGTGGGTGGTGAAACAAAGGGAGAAGCCGTCGTGGAAGCCAGAATCTGTATCCAACTACGGGAAGATTAGTAGCAGCTAAACACAATAATGTGTTTAGGGGAATACGAAACAAGTAAACGAATATAGGAAACAAGTAAACCTTAGAAATAGCACATCCCAAGTGGTGCACGTAGCATATCCCAAACTGTGGAGCTAGCAGATACAGGGTATTCTGTACTGCGAATGTGCCAGAGGGAACCTCTGCTTCACTACCTGGTTTTGGTTGAGGACTTTACTAGTGTGTGAGCAGTTCTGTGTGTACAGATGCACTCCTTAAAGCTGTCATCCATCTGCATATGCACATGAGCAACTTTAATACATGGATGCGTAGATATAATAAATACAGTTTTTTCCTAATGATTTTTCCATATGAAAAATCAAACCCTAATGTAGCACGCAGGCAGCAGAATGGATGGAGTATGTAGGCAGCATCTGTGCCTGAAAAGATACATGGGTATGCTATTTGCATTAATTCATGCCCACAAAAGCTTATGCGCTATATGAGCTTATGCGCTATATGAGCAGATCTGAATAAACATTTTATACCTTATATCTATTATCTACTTTTGCTGTCAAGTCACATGCTGAGATCATTGCAATAACCGGGAAAATTATGATGATATAAAAGTCCTCAATACACCCTATCAATATGTAGCTAATATAATTTCAAAGATAAATACTTTGACACTTTTAACACTTTATGTATGAGAGAAAAGGGTTTGTTGAAGACTGAATGTTTACCAGACCATTTTTTCTTCTAGAAAAGAAAGTAGGAAATTTTTTCATCTGTGATACAATTCATGGCTGTCTATATGACAACTACAAACTTTAAATGCAAGCTCTTCAGCATCGGCTGGATCTTAGGCCTGTAAAGCATCTAACATACTTCAGTGTGCTAAGTAAATGAAAAAAAGAATACCAAAAAAATGCAAATTATTATTTGCTGTATATTCACAAACTTCTCTGAAATCTAACAAGCTTTTCAAGTACTCAAAAATACTTCCTTAAAAATACCTGTTGTTCTTTGCTAGGAGTAGCTAAAATAATTAAGGTATCCACTTTAAGATAGTTTCTTTCAGTTTAGCCTAAGAGCAATACATTCTCATCTTGAGACTCGTGTTTCCGCAAGGCGCCTCCCTGGAACAACCTCAATATCCTGCAAAAACCCACTCCCTTTGACAGGAAGAGACAAATGGAAAAAAAAAACAACAACCCAAATTTAAGGGTTTTCGGAAGAAAGGCAGACTTATCATAGACATTAACCCAATCGCAACATCAAGACCATAGTCAAAGTATCCAGATTTTGGAGTCTCATCTGATGGTCTAAAAGGGTTGAGCACACATGAGCAGTCAGAGAGCTCTGTACTCTTCAGACGTGCATGAGTTTAGGACGGGTGAGTGTTGGCCAAATTCCCTCCTGAATTCTCCTGCTGTGGCGCAACTAGAGCTGAAAAAGTTCAAGCTGGAAGAGGCAGAATTCAGTCCTCAGTACTTCTGAATATAGCACAGAGTTCGCGACGTTTATTGATTTTTGATGAGTTTTGCAATTGTCAGTTTAATAGAATGAGTGGAAATGCCAAAAGAAAAAATATGAACTTTTACATTACAAATACACTTTTTAGTAAGATATATTGGTGTATCGAAGGTTGTCAGGAGACAAGAATGATTAGCATTTTAAGGATATTTGGGGGCTCAGAAGCTGATACAACACGGCCAATAGTTGCTGTACTTTCTCTAGAGAGCTGCTGTCCATCACCAGTGAGCACTGCAGCGAAACCTGGATGGCAGCAAGTGATGTAAACCTTGAATCACTGTGTTTTCCAAAGGAAAATAGGGCTGTGGTGTCTATTTTGCAGGGAAAAAAAGACACCACACAAAGGTTGCTTTCTGCTTTCAGACCATGAACTGCAGAGAGGTCACAGGCGTGCAACTGAGGGCAGTACTTCATCCAGATACCGCAGACCAGAAACTGGTTTCCATTGAGAAACCAGGACTTTATTTTGGGCCCTTGTTAAGCTCGTGCAATGACAATTTCACAGAACAGTAAACTTCACCACAAACTTCAACTGCAGTCAATGTTGTGCTTAGGAACAACACCAGTCAAAGTCCAGAGTACAAGCCTTTGCACTGTACCTTATGAAACAACTGAGACACCAGACACTCCTCTTTTTGAAAGCCGTCCCACAAGAGCCAACGGCCGCAGCTGACACCCAGCACACTAGAGATACCAGCTCTGAGTTCTACCTTATAAAATGTTGCTAATTTTACTCTAGCTTCTGTTTATTTAAAGTTATATTCTGCCATTTTACATGTAACACAACGCATACACAGATCCACATAAATCAGTGGGGCTACCTGCCTGAGGCATTCCCAAATAACCACTGATTTCCCATCATGAGTTAAAGCACCAGGAAAAATTAGAAGGAAAGTGAATAAAACCTGAAAACATGTACAATTCATACCACAGCAAATGTTAATCTAAAGGTTGTCTACCAGAGACCAATTTTTTTATTATAACATGTTTTGTAATGGCATGCTATCCAATACAACCGCACTAGGTGATAACTAGCACTGGAAAATGTCACAGATTAATAAAGAGCGTGGTGGCTGCTAATTTACCTCCATCTTGTGAGTTCATGATATTCAGAGCAAACAGCATTGCATTGGAGAACGTGGTAGCCTCTTCTTTGCTTGCAAAATTCAAGCCATAGACCTGCCGTGCATCGCGCCATTGATGAAAGGTAGGTGTTGCTTGATTGTACTTCAGTCCTTTCACAATTGAGTAATTAATCACTACCTGTGATTTGAAAGAGAGGGGTGAAGATTAAAAATAGTTCTGTTATCAAGGGAGGAAAAAAACCTTTTGGATTTTTAATTGGCAGAGGCAACTCGTATGGCAGCTCCTACATGGCTGTACGGGAAGGCAGCGTGTGTTTCGATGACAGAGGATCCACATCTGGGGGTAAGATGCGCAACAGTTCAATTCAGCCTCAGGGACTTGCAAGCTAGTTTTGCAAAATCTATTACCTGCTTGTGTGTTCTACAGCACCTCTGCAGCATACAGCTGTGCAGATTCTGCAGACAGATGTGAGCAGTCAGGGCCAGCAGCTGTTGCCATCTTCTGGGGGATGATCATGCACAGTTGTCAGAAAAAGAGCCAGACAGAGCTCTTGGCACTAACCCTGCCCTACAGCAGATAAATGTTTGTTTGACTCATTGCACCAGCTCTGCTTTTCTCCTCCCATGTGCCTGATCACAACCAGCTTCCTAACGTTGAGAGAGTTTTTGTCTGCAATCAGATAGGCAACGGCAAAACCAGACAAATAAGTTATTTCCTCTCCCACTCCTCCCTTGCTGTACGTGCCACAATTTCCAGCTAAAGGCTGACTGCAGCAGAAGGCTGTTTCTGTATGTTTTGATTTAATCTGCTAAATACAAAGCCCTGTTTGTCCTTGGGCAGGACACAGAGGACACCCAGCTACACAGTACACCTGGGATTTGACCAGAAACCTCCAATGCTAAAAGCATAAGCTGCAGTAGCTCAAGGTGGAGAGGCAGAAGTGTCCACTGCACCACGGGTAAGTCAGAAGGACCCATGGCAGTCAGCACCCAGAGATACCCACCTATGGGCTGATAATGGCACTCTGTTATCATGCAAATTTAAGAAACAAAACACCAACAGAAAGTATTATTCTCATAAACAGGAACGGTGCAGTTGAAGACAGAGGAGGAGTAGGAAATGGAGGCTCCCTCAGCCCACGCAGGCTGGGAGCAAAAGGGAACGAGGGATAGAGAAACTTCAAATTACAAGCAGGTAAAGTCTGAAGCTCATTACTCAAATATAGTAAATCTGGTTTTGAATATTTGAGATTGTCTCTACAAATGGAGTTATTTTGCATGGTGTTTTATCAAAAGACTGTACAATCCCATAATTTCTGGTCCTCGTTGAAGGCCAGTCAATGGAAATCGTTCATCAAACTAGTTTGCACGGCTCATCTGTAAATTAGGACACTGGTATACAGGAGAAGGATGAGGGACCTTGGTGCATGCTGTCCAGGAACTCACTCTTAGGGCAACTGCAGCATCCTGGACTTGGTAAGATGGGAGTAACAACAGAAGACAAGGGAACAGAGACACAGTAAGAAATAAATGCTGTACACAGTATTTATCATTACAGGTGGATCCCACACACCAGAAAACCTACCAATACATCTTTTTTGCAGTCTGATTGACTAGTACTTTGGAAAGTTTTCTGTTAGTACTACTATTGCATCTAAAAAATTCCAACATATTTGATTAGATTAACAATATTTTGGTAAATTATTGACAATTCTTCTCCATTATAAAAGCAAGAGTTTTGAAACTAATTTCAAAGATGAAGGACTCCTAACTCTGAGTTTTGAATTTTCAGTGGATTGTCAATTTAAACTGGCAGAAAAACATTAGGTGAGCACCTAATACATAAGAAGCAAATTGTTTTTCGAGCATTCCTGTTTCTGAAGGATGACATTGTCTTATTGATATAGTTAGTTAACAGATGTCTGATAATTATACTATATTAATATATTAAAAATCATAAAAAACAGCAAATAAGCCACTACACCAGTAGATAATTACAGAGATACTGTATTTCTACAATGCATATTACCTACCTGAGCCAGCATTAAGCAGCGACATAGCAAATAGCTGTTGAACACTTGGTCTAGCTTTAGGCATAAATTACCCTGATGGCTATTGAACATCAGGTATCTGGTCCAAGTGTTGCTCTCAAACCAGTATCATTATTAAGTTTCCATGTAGATGCACTGGGAAGCAATCAATCATCAGACCTACATTGCTTTTTTGCCACATTTCATAGAGAGGTCCTTTACCTGTGATCCAAAGAGAGATGCAGTGCAACTGATGTTTGGTACACAGGCCACGAAGAGTTGGTCCCCTGAAAATGGGAACCACATTGCCTGCATGCTGCATGGGAAGCCACCCACACCAACCGGAATGACATAGAAATGATGTCGCTCCAGTCACAGCAAACCCATGAAATCACTCCTATAACTACAGCTTAGATAGATAGCCCTTTTCTCTTAAAAACTGGTGACACCACCCCCATTCAACCACTGAACCTTGGGAGAGCCTGTATTGGCATTGCTCACACTCGAGGGGTCTCTGGACCATCAGGTTGACTCATGCCTGGATTACTAACCCAACAGTTTTAGCATGTACCAATTTTTAAGTCTTACAATCACTTCTAAGTACCTTAACCAAGGGAAGGCATAGCCAGTATCTTTAAAGAAATGTTTAGAAAGATTGCAGTTTCTTCCAGGCTTTGCAAAATCAGTATTTCTCACCTACTAAGAGTCCAAAGAGCACCAGAGGGTGTAATGCAGTTGTATAATGAAAGAGAGAAACTGTAAAAACCTATGCCAAAAGTCATTTAACAGAAGTTCAAAATTTGCTTTCCCAGAACACCAACTCAAGAAACTCAGAGAATCTGCTTTGAGGGTCTGATCCCTTTGGTAGAATAAAGACAGAATTTGAAAGTTGACTTGTATCAATTATCAGGATGCTCAGATGAACAAATATAATACCTTGTCTTCAAACTCAAAACAGAGAGTTTAAAACTGGGAAATGAAACAGAAAATAGCCTGAGTTTCATTTATCTCCTTTGACTAATGTTTCTAGAAAACAGAAAAAAGAGGAGGGCTTCACCGGCTGTCATTAAGAATGAATGCACAAATGTACCCTGTACAGATGTTTTTGAGACTCTGCAAGGCACATGATGATAACTAAGTGCTTCAGAGCAGTAATTAAAATAAAGAAGGGCCCCCGTTTGGAACATAAGGATTTTTTACAGGTGTTTCCAAGGGATCTTTAATCTAAAGCTTCATATGGCAGTAAGATAGTATCTGCCATGCTGAGCAGATCAATGGTTCATCTTCTCATCTTCAGTTGTAGTCTGTAATTGGTGATTTGGAGAAACATACCCAAAATCTTGCAGAAAGAAGTAATGGATTTGTCCATAACAAACAATTCTTCCTGTAACACTTTGCCTAGAGTTTGTCTTAAAAGTTGAAGCAGGACATTTTATGTGCCTATTTTTTTTTCTTTCCAACCCATTTTAATATTTTCTATCCTGAAACAAAGTAGTCTTGTTACTTATATAAATGTCTGTGCTGTTTTGAATCCTGTTAAATTCTGGATTTCAATGACCTCATATGGCAAGGAGTTTCACAGACCAATTCTGCATAGTATTCATACATTGACACCTTTCAATGTTCCCATGACTATAATGTTAAAAAAAGATTTGCTTCACTTCTACCTGCTACCCTCCTTCATGCTTTCATCTCAGTTTCTGGTATAGGGTCTCTAGGGCAGGCAGGGTATTTTGGGTTCTATGAAAAAGCTCAAAAACAAGAAGCCCTTCCCTTTGACTGCAGTCCGTAGGCTGCTGAGTTATAAATTGTCAGCAGTGATGATGGTGGTGGTTGGCAAGACTCACAGGAATGGGGCTAGATGGATTGAGGGGGCCTCAGGACCACCATCTGAGGTGCAACCACAACCAAGATGATGGGAAGAGCTCCCATGCAAATCTTACCACCCATACTCTTGCTTATCAAACCAGAACAAGACATTTGCTTGTTTCTCCAGAGTATGAAATGGTTCAGAAGTTTGTTATCATCTTGGGGTCTGCCATGATCCTAGCGCTCAGACTCCTCTCATGGGGAGCAGTCATACGATTGCTAAAACAGGGAGGATATGGCTTGGCAGCTAAAAATTGCCAAAGTTGAGGCCAGATTCTTTATTTGTGTACACAGGCCCAAACCTGACCAACTTCTAATAAGTTACAGCGGTGATTAAATGGTTCTTTATTTTTCAAAAAATGTGCTTTAGTTTATATCTCAAGAATGCTGTCCCCTTTTCAGTTTTGGCCTAGGCTCAAATGTAAAACATTCTACCTTCCCCAAGGCCCTGCTTTTACATTCGCTCAGCCACATCAATACACCAAACCCTCAGGAGATATGATTCACTTTTGACTTGCACACTCCTCCCCGCCTATTTGTTCAGCACATGCCTTTCGCTGATGAGATCATGCTAAGCTGAAATCACTTGATGCAGAATCACCATTTTAAACCCTCAGTTGAGCAGGACTCTGAACTGGGGAGCTACTGCTTGTCAGCTAAGCCACAAAGATGGACCGCTTGTATGTTTTTAGCTTTGCGAACTTCTTGCACGGTGACCGAAGCTAACACACTTCACCTTTACAACAGGCGAGGTTACAGCAACAGCCAGCAGTTTGCGACACTGGGGTAAACCGTCTGCTTGAGACCGCTGGGCTATGAGAAAATGAAGCCTGCACGGAAACATCAAAGCTCATGACGTTAAGCCATCATAATACTGATCTGACCTTCGCTTCAAACCAGTTCTGGCCAGAACCAGTAGCGAAACCACTGGTTTGAAGTGCCTACTTCAACGCTTCAGAAGTCTACTTCTGGTTTTCTGAAGATTTCTGCTCACGCCAGCACGAGCCTATGCAAAGGTGCACACGTGTGCAGAGCAGAACGGGAATTCATGCGCTGCGGGGCTGCGACTTGGCGCTGCTGCTGCACGCAAGCACGCGATGAGCACGTCACCCAGACACGTAAGGAGAACACGAGGTCGGGTGACCACTTCCCGGTGGTGAGAATGATGCTCAAACACTGCCCTCTAAAAGCCATGTTTCTTTGCGGTGAACTTTTTAGATACCGTCAGCTAGAGAAGAAGATAAACACAGGTAAGGCAAGCAGAACAAGAAAACAGTACAGAAACTCTAGCACATGCATCACAACAGGGCTAGAAAAGAGAAAGGCAGCTAGACAAAGACAACAAAAGGAGTCTACAGAAGAAGATACATGAAAAAAAAAAAGAGGATGAAAATTAGAGAGTCATTATTAGAGGTGTACTATAAAACAACAAAAATTAAAAGGGAAACATTAAAGGCAGGCAGGGGTGAAGTCATGAAGATTACTCTAGTCTGCGCCTTGCCAAACAGTACGTAATAAAACTTAATTTTTTTCCTCCGTGGTATTGCTGTGTTACATACTTTAAACTAGTTTCTCAACTCTTGGAAATCTGTGTAGCTTCATTAGCTTCATTATATGCAAAATCACGTATTAGCTGAAGACTGGTCCTTTTCAGAAAAATATGGCTTTCCTGGCAACGCAAGAGCTTTTACTAAAATCTCACTTTCAGTGTGATTTAGCCCAACCTGAGAGGAAGCATGAAACGGCCTGTACAGAGAATCATTGTAACTGAAATCCATTTTTGTTCTTGATAAATGCAAATGCTTAGCAAGCCTAGCAAGCTCATGATTCTATGTGAGCCTCATATGAAATATATTAAATTCTGAATCTTGAGACTTTCAGAACATTCCTTTTAATACTACAATGCCACACTGTCTTGAATTTGCTTTATTCATAACACTGGACTTTTGTAGTCATATTTAAGGCGAATATATTATTTTAGAAAGTTTTAAGTGACTAAGGTAAACTGTACTTTTTTGCTTGTTTGAAGGGGGATTTTTAGTCTTTAAACTCTGGAAAAATATATTCTTCTATCTGTTTACTTCTGAACTGAGATAATTTTTAGATGGCATGCAGCCTCTTCATAAGCAGGAACATTTGCAAGCAAATAGACTGTTACAGTTAATGCAAAACATGTTGAAAGTACAGATCAAGATTGATTTTTAATATATCCTTTGTTGTAAATTTGTATTTACAACATTTAAATCGTATATTCTTTAAATTGTATATTCTGATTAAGATAGACCTCCGGTGCATAGTCTCCTTTACATATATGTAGACTTTATGACTTTTGCTTGTTTTCCACCAGCTATTCAGACTGCAATCTTGGATTGCAGTCACATGAAAACCATTTACGTTCACCTGCTGGCTATGTAAAGTAAACCGCTAGCATGGCCTGTTACAAAGCAGTACTGGCTTTCACAACTGACTAAGCAGCCACCCTATTTCATTTATTTTCAAAAATATTTTCTATTTTTGAAATGGAACTACATTAATATATTGCCTTTGCTCTACTGAGAAGGATAAAAGCAGTGGCAAAAGGTACGGCAGATGTTTCAAAAGTGCACCGCAAGGAGCTGAAAACCAACATGCTCAAAACTCTCACCTATTTCTATTCTGCTTTTCCTTTTTCAAAATGATGACTGTGTGTACGGACACTCTAGCAAAGCCATTAACACTTCCGGCAAGCAACCTGACTAACTTTTCCAGTTGGCCCAAGCATTATCACAGCTGACAGCTGAGGGACATCATCTGCATTGCCATGAGCAGACAGGTCAATTCAACAGTTGTGGCAGCTGAGAGGTGGTGGTACCCCAGCTCCTGCTCCCCACCTTGGCTTGCCTTGGCTTGCCCTGCCCTGCCCATCTCACACTGGCAGTGGTGCTCGCCACACCTTCCCAGGAGGCAACGCCGTTCTCTGAATCAACAGGAAGTCAACCACCCACTTTTTCCTGATTCTTCTGCCAGGTTGAGGGCTTGAGGTGAGCGTGAGAGGCGGGCAGCCCCGGCCGGCCGGGGTGCC